GACTGACAGGAATCAGGTAGGCAAGTTGCTGCCAGGCAGGTCCTCGTGATTCAGGGGCTAGGATAAGGAACTGGTGACGTCACTCATGTCAGCCCAATAGCGCCCTCACTGTACTGGAAGGGTGGGATGGGCAAGATTCCAAATCTGAATTATTTATTCAAAGATCTGGAAAGCCGAAGGTGGGGGCACTTCCCCGAAGCAGAGAGAGATGGGGAGCCGGGAATAACTTGGAAGCAGAGCCTTGGTTGCTCAATCCTCAGGGGAGGCCCCTCTTAGCTTCCCATTTTAGGATTGGGAGAAGAGTGGAGAAAGATTTCCCTCTTCCCCAACCATGCCTGTCCTTAATACTAGGGAACTACTCCTTTAGATTTCTCCAGATGTGACAGATGTAGTCAGGCCTGGGGGGAAAGAGAAGCTAGCTGCTCATCCAGGACTGTGGGGTGAAGGTTAGGGCTTAAGGAATCAGAGGGGTCCAAACTCCAGGCCCCACCTCCCTCTAATTACCGTGTCTGTCGTTGCCGCTCCTACATCCAGAGTCCATTGTGCAGGGCTGGGACTTTGATGGAGGAGAGGGTCAGGTCAGATGTGTTAAATTTGGGGCAACTAGGGAATGAAGTAGTGTGTCACTGTGGGATGATGCACTGGACCACAATGTCAGTGGTTCAAATTCACCCGCTGCTCCTCGGAAACCCTATACAGGGTCGCTGTGAGTTGGAACCCACTCGCAGGCATATAACAACAACAAAGGGGATGGAGTGGATTCAAATTCCAAGTCTCCATTTATTAACCTTTGTGTGCCTGTTTTCTCATTTATAAAGTAAGGATATCATCTCATAGGATTGTTGGGAGGATCCCTGGCACATATGTGTTGGTGATCAATAGTATATCTATTTGGCAAGAGGAGAACTCTAGAAAGCACAAGTGTACAGGTGGTAACTGAGGTTCTAGAGGTAGATGGCACCACCCAGGGAGAGGATGGGGAGTGAGAAAAGCAGAGAGTGAGTGGCTGGGGGATGGGAATAGGGGAAGGAAGACCCATTTATGGTTGAGGGTGTTCTTGCTTCTGGATCTTTGCCCTGTCTAAGGCTGTGACTGAGGCTATCACCACCATGCAGGTCTCTCCTCCCCATAGACCTGCTTTCTAGGAGAAAGGAAAGTCTCTTCTTTCCTGTCTTCCCCATGCCCTCTGCCCCTACAGTCTTGCTTTCCCCCACACCATTAACATGCCTCTAATTCTTCCCACCTATGAGGTGCCAGACTAACCCAGGTGCTTAAAACAACCCTGCAAAGATAGGGACAGTGTCCCTACTTCATAGACTAGGGATTTGATATAAGTCACACAAGAAATAAAAGAGCTGAATAACACCCAGAGTACCTTCTATCCTAGCCCTCTCCTAAAAAGTCACTGGGGGTCAAGTTTGACGGCAGCCCGCAATAACTGCAGTTCCAAACATGACCACCAGATGGCTGTGAGCACTCACTTCCAGGTGAGCCTTTTCTTCCCCTTCCCCTTCACTAGTCTGGGGAATCTCTTGGGCCTAGGCTTTAAAGGAAGGTTGTGTGAGTGAGTGAGTGAGTGAGTGAGTGAGTGAGTGAGTGAGTGAGTGAGTGAGTGAGTGAGTGAGTGAGTAACACAAGTCATCTCCACACCTAAGACCCTTGTCCAAGTCCCAAAAGTTAGTGCACGCATTCTTAGCACAGACCCATTCATTCAGCCAATATTTACTAAGGGTTCCTCTTAGCCTGGTTTTGGGTGAGTGCTAGGGATTATAGGGAGTTCTGGTATGGCACTGTAAGATAAGCTCTGGACCACAAGGTTGATTTGAACTGCAAGACTGGGCATTCAAACCCACTAGCCCCTCCTTGGAAACCCTATACAGGGTTGCTATGAATTGGAACCTACTGGATGGCAGTTAGCAACAAAAGGGACAGAGAGATGATCTGGTCACATGCTTACATTTTCAACATTGAATAAATCATTATAGAGTGCCTACTATTACTGGAGTCCTGATGTGGCACTGTGGGTTAATGCTCTGGATTGCAAAGTCAGTTTGAACTGCAAGGTTGGCAGTTCAAGCTCATCAGCTGCTCTTTGGAAATCTTATGCAGGGTTGCAACCGACTTTATGGCACTTAACAACAAAAACAACAACCTATTATTGCCAGGCATGCTTCTAGACACATTCCACTCCAACCCCTACCATTGTTCCTTCATGGAGTTTCCATTCTAATGGGGAGAGATGGACAATCTACAGATAGATACTGCACTTGATATCAAGTAGGGAGTTCCTGAGGGTGAGGTAGACAAGCATGTACACAACTGTGACAACACAGAACAGTGTGATTACTTAACAAATCACTACTTAGCCCTTGCCATGTTAACTAGTGAAGAAGATAAACATGGCTTTTGCCTTCATGAAGCCTACAGCCCAGTGGGGAAGACAGACAATAGAGTAATAAATGAATAATTGATTTCACATTTGATACCTGCTCTGAAGGGAAAAGGAGGCATTGTGATGTAGAATAGCCAGAAGACCTCTTTAAGGTATAGAAGTCATGAAGCCTGTCACTTGAAGAAAGGAAAGTTTCAGGGAGTGAGGAGGGGCACAGCTGGTGCAAAGATCCTGAGGAGAAAAAGAGTTGGGTGTCTCTGAGGAATAGAGATGAGGCTAGTGTGTCGGGAGAAGTACGAATGGAGCTCAGAGAGGTGGGCCAAGGAAAGATCATGCAGGGGCTTGTGGGTCATGGAAAGAAGTGAGATGAGACCCATTAGAGGGCTTGAGCAGAGAATTAATGATCTGAGGAATTCCTAGGTATCGAAAACAATGGTTCTAATCCACCCAGAGGCACTTTGGAAGAAAGGTCTGGCAATCTACTTCTAAACAATCCATTGAAAACCTGATGGAGCACCATTCTACCCTGACATATATTCAAAAGGAACTGAATTTTTTTTTTTTTTTTTAACTATATGCTCTGACTTAAGTTTTCAAAGGCTCACTCTGCTGAGTGGAGAACAGACTACATAGCGGTGAGGGTGGGCAGAAGTAGGAGCTCTAGCAGAAGGTAACTGCAGTCATTCAGGTAAAAGATGGTCAGGAGTGAAGTTGGGGTGTGGAGAAGCAGATGGATTCAGATCTACCACAGTGCTGAGGCAGTTACAGGGGACTTCCAGCAGAAGGTGGCCTTTAGTAGTGTCTTGAAGGATTCCTTTAGAGGTGGAGAACACCAATAGAGAGAGAATGGTGAGGATAAAGGCAAAGACCTATAAAAGAGAGAAAGAAAGGGCTGTTCTATTTTTCTTTTAGAGAGTAGGAAGATGTTAGGGAGAGCCCAGGACAGGCTAGAGAAATTTCTAGAACCAGAAATCAAAAGGTTATAGAAGCCAAAACACAGTTGAACAGTTGTTTATTGGAAGACATGTGGTCAAATTAATGGTTTCAAGAGAGCCCTGCATTGTGAGGGCTTGCTAAAGGGACTGGAGGCTGGGAAGCAGTGAGGCCAGGAGAGGGACAGTGAGGAGCCTGGACCCAGGAGACTTACAGAAGCAGAAGTGGAAGGATTTTAAGCTGGGCACTGAGACAGAGGGAAGGCTGGAGAATGAGACCATGGTTGATCTGGGTGATTGAGGGGAGTGATGGGACATTCTTATGTGGAAAAGAGGGACCAAGCAGCTTTAGAAACCTGAGGGACACTCAAGTGGAGGTGCCCAGGAGGCAGATGGGCCCACAGGAGTCATAACAGAGTGGAGAGTGGCCTCTAGCCTCAGTCAATGTTGTGCTCACACCCTAGCCCACCACAACGTGTGTCTAGACAGGTAATTTCAGTTTTCAAGCTTGCAAACTGAACATGACAAAACTCAGGTCTGGAGGGTGCTTGTGAACATGAGATGAGATGCAGTAAGTAAAAGAATGCACTTGTCACATAGTCAGGGGTCAATAATTGTTAACAGTTTTTAAAATGATTAATAACAGGCGTAGCATGGGGTGAGCTAACTGCACTGGAGTTGGAGATGTGACTTTCAAATGGAAACTGATGACAGAAATGACCACTAGTCCCAGGAGATGGTAGGACTCAGGACTACTCTGAGCCACCAGTGATGACGAGGGGAAATTTGAGTGGAGAAAGGAGTAGGAAGGAAGGAAAGGAGAGCGGGAAGAAGGAGGATGGGAAGAAGAAAAGGAGGTGAAAAGAAGAAAAAGAAGAGGGGTTAAGGAACACATTGTAAGGGAGATGAGAGGTGAGTGCAGCGGAAGAACCAGACGAGTTATCAGGAATGATGGTCTTGGGGAAGGCTGTGGAAAGGCCTTCAGTTGACTTAGCAACAGTTTGACTTGTGACTTGACCAGAGGATGTGGTGGACCAGGGGCTGAAGGGAGGGAGCGCTAGGGGCAGAAAAGAGGAGAGTACAGGGAGTGAAGCGAGGCACAGAGGAAGCTGGATCTGAGCAGCCCAGCCAGAAGCGAGGGGCCAACTGAGGGCGGTCCCAGAAGTCTTGAGGTCTGGCTGAAGGATGCAATCCAGAAGATCCGTCTGTTCTGAGCTCTGGAGGCAGGAGACTTCACTCAAATCCTGGTTTTGCTACTCACTCTGACTTCAGACAGGTCCCTCACCTTTTCGAAGTCTCAGTTTCCTCACCTGTAAGGCAGCAATAGTAACAGTTGCTACTTAGCAAAGTTGGCGAAAAGTTGCCCTTTAGGAGAACCCAGTCCTCAAGTCTCTAAATCCTAGATTCCACCACCTTCTTCCACCACCAACTCTACCTGGTCTGTCCCACTAGCCACGCCCCTATTTGGTACCGCCTCCACCTGGCACCTCCCAGACCACCTGCTCAGCCCCACCAACCTGCGCCCATTGGCCACACTCCGAACAGACCCCGCCCCTACCTAGCCCCGCCCTTGTTGCCCGGGTCTCCCTCCTCACTTGCTTGACAGAGTGGAGTTACAAGGGACGCGCCTTAGCAGCTCTCAGCAGATCCCCCAGCGCGACCCCAACCCCGCGCCCATGGCCTCATCGGGTCCCCGTGCCTTGCAGGCTGTGCTCTGTGGTAGCTGCTGCTATCTCCTGCTGTGCGCCGAGCTAGCTGTGGCTGGTAACTCGGGCCGGGTCTGGTTACATGTCTGGACCGGGAGAGGTGGAACAAGCCCTTCACCCAGTCACCACTCAGGAGAAGTGTGGGCTTGGGAAGTGGGGAGGGGACTTTCTAGACGTGTCAGTGCTCCAGGAGTGGGTAGAAGAAGGGGCCTAGTGGAGCCCTGTGTTATATATGTGTAGGTTTCAGATGGATGTCAGGGAAGGCTGCCCCCACCACCACCGGTGTATGTGGGGAGGTAGCTCCGCATGCATCTGGGAATCCCAGGTATGTGTAAAGGGAGGGGGCTCTGGGTGAACATGAGAGAGGTTCTAGGTGTGTATAACCACATGTTTGTGGCAGCTCCAGATGTGAGGAGGGGCTTGGAGGATCCCAGTTACTGTATATGGGAACCCAGATGTGTGCAGAGAGGATGAGAGTCATAGTAGTTCAGGGTCCCTGCAACTTCAGTTCAAAAAATCATTCCCTTGTCACCATCCTCCCCCCATCCCCCAGGTAAAGGAGCTCGAGGCTTTGGCAGAGCTGCCCTGCTCCGCCTGAACATCTGGCCAGCTGTCCAAGGGGGCTGCAGAGAGCGGGAGCTCTGTGAGCGTTGTGTGGAGGAGAGCAGAGCACACAACCTCTCAAGCTGTGTGTGGGAGCAATGTCGGCCAGAGGAGCCAGGTACAGGATGAGGGTGGGCCCTCTCTTCATTGAGTACCCCCAACTCTAAACCCCAGGGCCTTAGCTCCTCTCCCCAAATCTCTCTCCTGTACCTTCTCTCACTAGGACACTGTGTGACCCTAGCTGAGGTGGTAAAGGAAGGCTGCTTTGTCTACAACCACTCAGAGGCATGTCCGGGTAAGGGGGTGTGCACTGGCTTATGTCAAGTTGGAGAGAGAGGGCTGAAGGTCTGTCCCCAAGCCTAACCTGCCCTCCAGAAAAGACCCAGACTCTCTTGGAGAGTGGCTTATGTCCTTGGAACACCTGGGCCCAGTCTCAATTTTATCTTTAACTCACTGAGAAGCCTCTTACCCTCACTATACCTTCTTTATCTATAAATGGGTAGAACTGGGAGAGGGGTGGGGGCGTGGCGAGTCTAGGACAAGTATGTGTATATGGGTAGCTCATTTTTAAATTTAAGGCATAATGTGAGCTTTGGAAGTTCAAAAAAGACTAGGGACTTCCTAAAAAAGGTGACATTATAGATAAGGCCTGGAGGTAGAGATGGAGAAAGGCCACATCTGGTGGGAGGAACTGTGTGAGATAAGGCTTGAATGTATATGGAGTTTACCTGAATCTGGGAAGGGGATGCTGACGAGTCAGAAGCCAGGCTGACTGGGCTGGGATTTCCTTGGCATTCAGGGGATGGGAGGGCTGATTTATTATGGATTCTGTCTCCTCAGCTGCCCATCACCACCCCACCTATAAACCGAAGACAATTACAACAGGTAGGTGCCATCTGGGGGAAGGGGACAGAGGAACAACCAGAGGTGTAGACAAAGACAGACCTGGGTTCAAACACTGTCTGTGACCTAAGGCAGGTGACCTCTGAGCCTCAGTGTCGAGATCTAAGCAAACAATGGCTTAGAGAGTACCTCCACAGAGTTGCTGTGAGAATTGTGAGATGATGATTGTATAGCACCTAAGTCAGTATCTGACACATAGAAAGTAATCAAGAAATGGTGGTTCCCTGCCCTTCTCCCACCACCACCAGAGCTGGGGACTCAGGGTGAAGTCTCAGGACCTGTCCTTGGTGCTGAGTGTGTGTGGCCCATAAAATGTGGTCCTCAGTGACCACCTAGTACAATTTCTAGGACCAGATAGGGTCACAAAGCAGGATACCAGCAGAGTAGAGGTAACAACACCTCCCCTTGGTTCTCACTGCCCCTCAGAGCCTGGAGGTCACTGGACTTGGCAGGGGTGGCTGAAGAGGCTCTTGGTTAATTAAAGCCAGAAATGTGATCTTGGAGGCTGAATTATTGATATCTGTGCTCCCTCCGGCTCAAGCTCCAGATCTGCCTTGTGCGGCTCAGTGCATCTTTTCCTCCTCATCCCTCAGTGCCTTTCTCTGGGGCTCGCTGAGCTACAGCTTACCCTTCGTATTCTTAGCCCTCCTCACAGTACCTACAGGCTCTGGGAGGTGGACCCTGCTTATAATCAGGCCTCTTGTCCAATGTCCCAAAGTGTTCTCCCACCTGCCAGCTCTGCCCTGCCCTGGGCACTGGCCCAAGGTCTGAAATGGAATCCGTAGTGGGAGTCTATGGTTAACGTGGCAGAGCTGGGAGCCACACAGCCACAGCCTGCCAATCAGGAGCCCTGACTCAATCCTCTATGGGCCAGGAGACCTGGGATGAATCCAGCTCTTCCTGACTGTGAGGTGATTTGGTCATGCTGGCCTTCAGAGCCTAATTTCACCCTCTGCTGTTCATGATCTAGCCTCCATTTCTGTGCTCACAGGTGCTCGCCTGGCCTACTCAGGACCTCATTTCTTCCTCTGTCTTTCCTTTCTAAGGGCTCTGACATTAAGTAACTCTGGGGTCTACAAGCTTAGAAGTTCTGAAAGGAGAACATACCATCTGTATCTGGGTTCTAAACCCCGATACCTAAGGCTGAAAGGGATTCTGGGCTGGTGGGTCCCTCTTCACCTTGTTGAGTAGTATGGGACAAGCAGGCTGGTGGGGAGTCCAGCTCTCCCATTGGGTCCATGTGAACAGGAGTCCCAGAGAGAATGTGGGAGGCATAATGCTATGGAACAACTCATAAACAGAACCAGATCTGGTGCCAGGACCTCATCCCTCCCCCAAGGCACATCTCAACTGCCCACACAGGACCTAAGCTGGCCTGAGCCTAGTGTTCAGGTCCCTATCATGAGAATGGGCCTTGAAGTGACCTGTGCTAATTTGAGGGATGGGGCTGGGATCCTGGTCCCTGGTGGACTACTATGACCTCCACCCTGCCTTGCCCCTACAGGAAGCCCCCCAGTCCCTGAAGCCCCTAGCCCAGGCTTTGATGGGGCCAGCTTCATTGGGGGCATCGTGCTGGTGCTGAGCCTACAGGCAGTGGCCTTCTTTGTGCTACGATTCCTCAAGGCCAAGGACAGCACCTACCAGACACTGTGAGTAGATGGCCACCCACACCTGCCTCTAAGTCCCCAGGGAACTCTCTTCCCAATGAGGCAGATCCAAGGACAGTGACTTCTGCCCTCTATGAGCCACACCCCTCCTCCATCCCCCAGTTGTGAGGCTCTCTGCCAGACACTAGCTGGGACCAGGACTCTGGGTTCAGTCTGGGCCAGGTATCTGGGAGTATGGCTGAGCCCACCTGTATCTTTGCCCCCTCATGCTGCCAGCAGAGAGGAAAACCAGTAGGTGATGCCCAAGCGAACCTTCAGCCCTACAGTCCTGTGGCCATGGGCCAAGCTGGGGCCTTGTGTGCGGTTTGATTTTCCTCTATGAAGGGGAGCCCCTGTGTGCAGTGTGTGCTGTGGGGTTGGTCACCGCAGCCTCCATTAAAGTGTTTGCTCTCTCAGCCCGTTGCCTGCTCTCTGGGGCTAGGGGTCCTCAGCCTGGCAGAGGCAGGGCCACCTCCCCAATCGTATTCTCTGCCTGGCCCCTACAGAATCTGACCCTCTTCGGGCCTGGACTCCACATGGAGGGGAAGTAGGACACAGAGGCTGCCTTCTTGGTCCCTCATGAGCTCTGGGAGTGGGAAAATCATGGGCCACCAGTTCCTTGCAACTTTAAGCAGGCTCAGTGCCTGATGCTGGATATTCCCTCCTTGTCCTGGAAGCATCCCACCCCCACCTCCTGTCTTATCCATTGCCCCTCTGGGGACCCCGAGCCTAACATCTGACTTTTGTGCCTGTCTCTTTTCACCAACCTGACCTGGCACTGCCTCCAAATAAAGGGACTCTTTCTAGCAATGAGTTCCATGTCTTGTGTCCTGGGCATGTGGATTGGATGGGGTGTGGGTTTGGCCATTGCTTTCTCCTTAAGGAATTCTACCTAGAATTGCTGTTGTTGTCTTTTAAATGATTTCACCTGTTATACTAGCTGCCCTCATCCCTACACAAATGGGAATGCTGCAGATACTCAGAAATGTATGCAGTAGACTTACCCAGGATCACACAGCTGCTTGGGGAAGGGCTGGGATTTGGATCCAGGTTTTTCGGACTCCAGGGTGAGCAGAACATCAGAACGCCCTTCAGAGCATCTCCAGGCTCTCAGCTTCCTAAGGTTATGTTTTGACACCCACCCTAACTCCCCTTGCAGTGTGGAGGGTAGAGGCTCTCCTACCCATCTCCAGGCTGTAAAGTCTTATTTCCTAACCACCTCTCCAATGGACTGGGCACTTGCTGGGAGCCAAGCTTGCAATCTCACACCTTTCTCATAGAAGTTGGAAAGCTGTAGAAAGTAATGGTTGAGAGTTCAGCCTGTGAAGCAGACTGCTCTCTGTGAACTTGAGCAAATGATTCAACAGCTCTGTGCCTCAATTTCCTCATCTGTAAAGTGGGAATACCAAGAGTTTCCATCTAGTGGGAAGTAAGGAAAGTTAAGAGTGGATGCATTTGCTTCTTCACCTTCATTCCAGGGCACCTGTCTACCCTTCCAGCCATGCAGCCTCTGGTCAAACTTGCTGCACCTCCCCCTACCTCTACCCCAGCCTCCCTACAGGGGTTCTGAGGGACCCTGGGATTCACAGGTAGCTTCACTACTCCCCAGCTCCACAGAGAGTTCACCTGCTTATACATCACATCCCCATCTGTAAGGCCAAACACAGTCAGTCCGCCTCCTTACTCCTACTTCTCCTCCACACGGATTCCACCAAAGCCTCTTCATCCTCTCAGACATCAGCGTTTCCTGGAGCTCTCCTCCAGCTACTTGGATCTACTTTTTGTTACCCAGCCTGCCTTGCACTCTCTGGTCTCCAAGCCTTTGCACATGCAAAGTCTCCTGTCTAATCTTCTCCCCCTCAGCAAAATTTAGTTTCTTTACCCCTGTCTTTATTGGATGTCATAATGCTTATAAGGATTGAAAATGTTTATATAAAGAGTGATATCAAAGTTCATATAAAGAATGAGAATCATTCTTCCCTGATCCAACTCTTTAGAAATAACTACAGTGAGCAGTTTGTATCAAAGTTTCTGGGGGGTGCAAGGGATTAATGCACTGGGCTGTTAACCAAAAGGTTGGAGATCAAGTCCACCCAGGGGCACCTCAGAAGATAGTCCTGGTGACCTATTTCTGAGAAATCAGCCGTTAAACACCCCATGGAGAAAAAAAACAAAAAAACAAAATACCCTATGGAACACAGTTCACTCTGACATATGTGGGGTTGCCGTGAGTGAGAATCGGCGGCAACTGGTTTGACAGTATGTGTCAGATCTTTTTCTATGAATCTACAACATATATACACATATTTGGAGTTCTGGTGTGGCACTGTAAGATAAGCACCGGACTACTAACCAAAAGGTTTGGTAGTTCAAACCCACCAGCCACTTCTCAGAAACCCTATATAGGGTCGCTATGAGTCAGAACTGACTCTCATCCACACTTAATAGCAGTAACAACATACACACATATAAGGAGCCGTGGTGGTGCAAATGGTTAAGTCCTGACTGCTATTCAAAAGATTAGTGGTTCAAACCTACCCAGTGGCTCTATGGGAGGAAGACCTAGCAATGTACTGCCGTCGAGATTACATCCAAGGAAGCCCTAGGAAGCAGATTTACTGCCACAATTCCGTGATCAATGGTACCTGACAACATACACACATTCAGCTCTTTAGAAATACAAAATGGGATCATGTTCTACATACCAGGAGGCTTCAAAAAGTTCAGGGGAAAATGGAATTAAAAGATAATGGAGTTTTTCCACAAACTCTTTGAAATCCCCTTCATATTGTTCTGCAACTTTAACCCTTCATTCAAGATCAGATTTGCCCTGTGATTGCCACCCCAAATCAAACCCTTTGCTGTTGATACCGGCTGATAGCAATCCTAAAGAACAGGTAGAACTGGCCCCAGAGGGCTTCTACAGCTGTAAATCTTTATGGAAACAGACTGACACATCTTTCTCTTCTGGAGTGGCTAGTGGGTTTGAACTGCAGACCTTTTAGTTAGCAGCCAAATGTGTAACCACTGTGCTACACCCAAATCCCAGTAATTCCAGTTGGGTCACACTCACTGATGATTACCAATCACCATGAGGAACAGGCTGGTGTGTTCTAGACACACCCGCAGAAGTGTTTTGGGTGCATTGGATCCCAGAACTGGAACTGCAGGGTCTCGGCATCCATCTCATATATTCATCCTGCCAAGCAAACTCTGCCTTCACCTCCCCTCAGACCCCTTGTACCTCCACCCCATCCTCTCCCCACCCTACCTCCAGCACTGGGCTTGGCACAGAGGAGGCCCTCAGAGAGAGTTTGCTGAATGAATGAATGAGCTCTTCCTCTTCTCCAGTAACCTCCCTCCCCCTCCCTTCTAGCTCAGGCCTCATCCCTCACATCCAGATCTTGTCTTCTGCCTCCTCAAGGGCCTCCCAGCCTTTTGCCCTCCCCAGGCCAAGCTGCCTACACAGGTGATTTATGTTAACAGTTGTTTCTTAGGCCCTGATAGGGGCTTCCCACGAGACTTGAAGTTAGGCATGAAGTCACTTTAGTTTCTCCCTCTCTATTTCATTCATTTAAGGAGCTCTGGTAGCATAGAGGTTACAAATGGGACTGCTAACCTCAAGGTCAGAATTTAGAAACTACCAGCTGTTCCTTGGGAGAAAGATGAGGCTTTCTGCTCCCATAAAGATTTACAGCCTGTACAAGGAAACCCTGTACAAGGTCACTATGAGTCAGAACTGACTCCACGGTGCTTAACCACCAACCACCACCATTCATTCATTTAGCAAGTATTTATTGAGCGCTTGATTCATACCATGCCTGCAACCCATATCCCATCTTGTCTATGAGCAGGCTGTGTATTGCACTCAGCATGTCATCTGGGGTGCACTGTGTATCTAATAAATGGTGGCCATGGTCATGACTGATACTGTTGACAAGGATCAGGGAAGGATGGCATTAGGGCTGGGCCTTCATGAACAGGTGGAGCTTTGCAGGTAGAGAGGAGAGACTTCCAGATAAAAGACATAGCGTGAGTCAAGGCTCAAAGCTGTGTGACTTCAGATTCTTGGAGAGATGGTTGGGGAATCAATCCTGAGTGAACAGAACAGGGACCGTGCCCGTTCTCGCTGAGGCTGAGGAAGAAAATGCTCCTACACCCTGCTGGCTCCAGCCTGTGTGGGGTGTCCTAGGGAACTAGTTTCACATTCCCCACCAATTTGGCCCTCGTAGATGCTGGCATCTTACTTCTTAAGGCACCAGAAAGATGAACCAACTGTGGACCCCATCCTTCCTACTGCTAGGAGATCTACTTGTCTGAAGACCCAAGTGGAGAATTTGGACTCTAGAGGCAAAAGACATCTGATTTTGAACCCAGCTCTGCCATATGACAAACTATGTGGCTTTGGACAAGTCCGTTTCCTGACAGAACCTCAGCTCCCTCCTCTATAAAACAGAAGATGTAGATGCCACCTGAGGTTCTGTTGAGTTGTTCGCATTCTCTGCTTCAGAAGAGGAACCAGGGAAGGCTTTTTCAGAGAAATCGTGACTGTTGGGGAGAGACTTGAAAGAGGGAAGTGGTTATGGGGAGGTGCATCCTGGGAGTCCGTTTTCCTGCCTGAGCACCCAAGAGGCTCCTCCCAACCCTCCCTGGAAGAGTCACTCAGGTTGCAATTGAGAGCTGCAAGGCAACAAAGGAGCTAAAGGGGATTTTGAATGGAGACAAAGCAGAGGGAAAAGCTGATTGTTTTGGAGTTAAGACAATTTGCTCCTGTAAAGATTTACAGCCTCGGAAACCCTGTACAGGGTCGTTATGAGTCGGAACTGACTCCACCGTACATAACAACAACAGCACCCCTGTGACTAGCTAGGTTTGTTTTTGTGTTGTTAAGTGCCATTGAGTCAGTTCTGACTCATACATAGTGATCCTGTATAGGGTTTCCATGGTAGCTGGTGAGCTAGAACCACTGACCGACCTTGCAGTCCAGCACATTAATCCACAGCAACA